GACATACAGCGCTCGCGGGTTTTGTCTCAGTTGACCGAGAACAGATGTTTACACAGAAAAAAAGTTGTCTCGGTAAAGATGGCAACCCCTTTTCGCAAAGAGGGTATCCCTACCGGTATATGTCTTATTCATAAGATGAGAACCTACAGTTACGAAGACAGCTTGTTTTTAAGATTTTAGGATTAATAACAAATGTAAATTTTATTGTACAATTTAAAATGCATACATATGTGTATGAAAACGAGGCTTAAACGTGACATACGTTTCACGTTTTTAGAAATTTGATTGAACTTCTAAATATTGCATGCCAAACAAATATCGCTCTTTTCGGCGCGGGAACGATATAGTGCTTAATCCAGTATTTTATTTCAAAAAAGAAGAGCAGGTAAAAAAAATGTTTGGGGATAAGCAGACTGCTCAGTCTCAAATTAATCAACTGACCAACTTCCCTTCGCCGTCTTTTTGACTTCCTCATATTTTGGCTATCCGCCCCACTAACACCTGCTTGACATAATAACTCTATACTAAGAACTTGCGTTCATCTTCTGTTCCCTAACTTAACTTCCATCAATCAGTTTTTATTGTTTTCAATACCAAGTCTTTCAATTCCGACAAAACCACTATCTCCATCCCTTCTTGTTTCCAGTAAGTTCTCTTTGTATACTAAAACACAGCTTGCATATGCTTCACAAGCAGGCCCACGTACTAGTACTGATCGAAAAAAAAGAAGAAAAAAAAAAAACAAAAAAAAACAGCAAGATGTTTATGCGGGTAGTTTGATTTGCGTATCAAATTATAATCTAACTTATTCTTTCGCTCTCGTTTTCCGCTCGTTCCGTATCGCACCCATTCCTGATAGTAAAAGAAAGTCCGACTTGGGAAAGTCTAATCTAACTCTAAGAATAATTTAATAGATAGAAAAAAACTAAAGCACACACACAAGTATGCAAGTGTTTGTCTCAGCTTGTGTGAATCTGTCTTGCAGTTAAACTTGCGCTTCTTCGGAAACTTCTAGTACAGTAACAACATGTGACGTTTTAATTTCCTGACAGGCAATCCATTCTTCAAATTGGARACTTTTGAAACATTAAATGGACAATGAAAGCCATTCATAATATCTTAACGCACCTAATGATTTCCTAGATCGTAAGCAAGAGTGTATGACACGAGCTGCTATCCGCTATTACTAATAGGTGAATAGTTCCTTTACTTACATCAATATACTCTATTTGTCTTTCTGTAACCGTTAGTGGTAGCCTTCGTATCATGAAGGCTATGTTGATTTAAGAATGTAAGAACGATGAGCTTCATGACGGATCTTTCAACAAATATAAACAATAGAAAATAGCCTTGATAATAACATTTGAGCAAAAGCAGCTGGGATATCTAAAAAAAAAACTAAACCAGTTTACCACCGCCATGTTGTCTAGCCTCTCGCCAGGATACACCCACTTTCTGATGTTATTGTTCGGTTTATCTTTGATTAGCGGCAGAAATATCGCAAAATCAAAGGCATGATTTGCTCCGACCTATTAAGCGCWTCCAACCCCAAAGGGAGTAGTGGTATGAATGAGGGCTAATTTGTTGATCTATTCGGGCCCACARGCTATAATAGGAAGTACTAAAGTATCCCTAACACTCTAGATATCGATCCTTTAAAGTGGCCAAGTTGTGTATAGATTGCATGAATGTTTTCTGAATGCGAAGAACTAAGACGTCAAATCTTTGAAATCCAGTAATTTTCGATGCAAAAATTGTTCTTAGAACTGAACTTACTAAGAGCATAAACTTTGAACCAATTTAAGTCATTAGAGCTTTAATGTTTTTTTCCATTCTCCTAGTTAGTAAAAAGAAGGCAAAAAAATTTGTGTAAAAAAAAGTATAGCTTATTCCTTGTGTGTRTGTGACCCCGGAACAATCTCGTACCCAGAGCCCACACTTTTGYCATCCAGCGGATGTCAATGCRTGAGAGACTCTGGAGGAAACAATTTTTTCTCGATTCGTGATTGGTTGAAAATGACGCGAGCGCGCATTGTTTTCAAATCGGTTTTCAATCTCGTACCCAGAGCCCGCACTTTTGCCATCCAGCGGATGTCAATATGTGAGAGACTCTGGCAATCTCGTACCCAGAGACCACACTTTTGCCATCCAGCGGATGTCAATGCGTGCGAGACTCTGGAGGAATCAAGTTTTTCTCGATTCCTGGGTGATTTGAGAAAATGCGACTAGCCAATCAGCGCAAAGCTGACAAGATTATGTTGTAAACATAACCCCCCGACGGGAAGAATTTGCACAGCAAAACTCGACCCAGTGGAGTAGGCTGCCTGCCATTTTATTCTATCCGAAAAATCAAAGCTAAAACCCAAAGAGAAATTGCAAATCTTTATAAAATAGCTTTTATTAAATGTCAATCAAATATTTATCGTTATAGAAATAGAATTTTATCTTCAAAATGAAATAAATAATTTTTTCTTTAATATCAAGAGACTCCCCTCCCTGACAAAAATAATTGATCTGTGTTCTACGCGGGTTCTCCATTGCATGCGAAGCAACGGCCGACTTCACGAAGACTTCAGAAGGTCGTTGAAGCGACGTTCAAGTCCAAAGTAACTTAGGAGGAACCATTGCAAATCCTTTTTCTTAGCTCTTGTTTCCTCTAAGCTTTGAGGTATCCGACAACATCACTGAAAGAGCTAGAGCAGCTTAGCTCCACGTATTCCAATAGAGTTAAAGTGTTTGTTATTTTTGGTAGTGACAACTGTCGTAGTTCATCCTTTGTCGCATTTTTGGCAATAAGCCGCAAGCATGCTCGACGATGCAACAGGTTGACGTTCTGTAACAGGTCGGTTACATATTTACTAGCTTTGACCTTACAACGAGAGCTAGAACGGTGGCTAGGGTTTTTCGTGTAATGTCTTGATAGCGACTGTTTATGTTGAAACGATTCAAAACAAAATTCCATCGTGAAAAAAGTTCGACTAAATTCCCTTCTGAAAAACACGTGTGTATTTAAGGTGGAAAATGTTTGATATGAGCATTCAATAGCCAATGTGCGCGGCAGACATCTTGGATTTTGAGCGCGCAATGTATCCTGGGAGACTGAGTACTTGTTTACGTTTTTCTCGTCGCTCATGGATCTTCATAGTTTTGTGAAGTAGTTCCTAAAATGAGCATAAACTTTGATAAACAGAAGTTCCAGGTGCTTTTTTCAAAACTCTTTTGAAGCTGCAACTATTACTGAGCTGAAGCGTTGGTTAAAATGTCGAGGAGCATCCGTTAAAGGTCTGAAAAGTGAGCTTGTTGAAAGGTAATCTGTCACACTTCGCACCTCAATTGGTCAATTATAATATCCTGTCAGAGTAGTAAACTATACTTTTCGAAACGATCTAGGTGTGAAATCTACTCAGCTGATCCAACAAGGTTTCACAATGTGATCGACCCGGATTTAATCCATTCCGACACCAGAATCTATTCTTGTAAACTATCCTAGCGTGAAAGACAACCTCCAAGATGGCATACTTTGGACTAGATCACTTCTTGGTTTGTCCAGTGGTTTTGGGGAGGGAAAAATATTTGAACATCTTGGGCCCGGGAGATTAAAACACAGAGTTGCTGGGTGATCAACATGCTTATATCAACGAACAAGATATCCAATCTCGAAGTGAAAGGTATCGTAGAGCGTACGGGAAGGATCTCAGTGTAGAGATCAACAACATAACTGGGAGAGTGGACGAAGGCCACTGGGGCTAAAGGCATTTGCAAACATGTAGCAGCGATGTTATTCAAGAAAATGTGCCTCAAGATCTCATTCAATTAAGTCTGAGCAGAAAGAACAGGTACTTACAGAGCAGAACTACAGTTACTAATACTATACTTCCAAGTTTAGACACAGCTTGTTTTTCCTGGGAATCACCTGGTGTGATTTCATGGTATATTATAAAGTTAGTATCAGAAATTATTACAAGAAAGACCTATGTTTACAAATAAATAGTGTGT